TATTGACAGTATTGAGTATTACTATTACTAGTATTACTATTTAAAAGTATTTAGTAATTTACTACTATAACTCTACGTACTCTATCAGATGAGTCTATATATTATACTTAGACTAGTCCACTAGATCATGCATATAGGTCTAAATCTAGACATGATCCGCAAACAATAATATATCTACATTTAGAGCTAAAACTATATAGATCTAGATCTAAGTCTATAATCTGATGCTGCTGATTAACATTTACATTGCAATACAGCCATTTTTATCACAAATCAATAAATAGAAGAGGAGGTCACTCTTAACATTTTAATATTGAAAACTAAAAATGGAAGTAGCTTACCTTGTTTTTTTAGTATCTTATTTTGTAGATATACGGTAAATATTATTAGTAAATTATTAGATTTACCTAGATTTGTCCATGGTGATTAGAATAGAAAGTCCCCCGACAGTATAGAAAAACCTCAGCTTACGTCGTAACGTTTTACATTGCATCTTTTGCGTAAAATTATTGGGTTATCATTGGCTTGGAAGAAAGTCTTTGCAGTGTAACTTCCAAAATAGTTACGTTCAGACATTATTGCAATTAGTATATATTCATTAAGTCTTTAGTACAAATTATCAAGTGATAAAAAATCTCTACGTTATAGGGCAGGCATGTAAAACACGGCGTTCGGGGGCCGCATGCGGCCCGCGACCACTTTGCGTGCGGCCCGCTTAGCCACCTAAAAATTATCAAAATAATGTTAAACTTTTACGCTGGAAAATAAGAGATGACAAGCTACTTGAATCGAAAAATAGTATTTGTTAAACTGAACAACGAGAGTGAGTCTGCATTGAAAGCAATTTAAGCTACATTTCGTCAAATTTAATTGCAAGTCATAGCAAATCGTTTAGTGAATTTGATATAATAAAGGAGTGTGCCGTTAAAGCTGCCGAAGTAATTTGTCCAGAAAAGGTGAAAGCATTCACAGAAATAGCGTTAACTAGAAACACTGTGGCAGATAGAATAAATGACTTGTCAGTCAGATTGCGTAAACAATTAAAGATTTTGAATTATTTTCATTGGCTCTTTGTGAGTCAACTGATGTAACGGGTGTAGCACAGTTGGTTATATTCACGAGGGCCTGTGACAAGAATTATGAAATACATGAGGAGCTACATGAGTACTGTTCTATGCATAACACCACAACTAGCGAGGATGTTTTTAAGATATTAGAGGAGGTGACATTGCAGTACAATTTATCTTTGTTAAAGCTAGCTAGTCTAACAACGGATGGTGCACCAACCATGAAATGAGATGGTTTTGATGCAAAGTTACTTGCAAAAATAAGAGAGACTAATGCTAATTTTAAATTTGCTCATTTTCAGTGCATCATTCACCAAGAAGCATTCTGCGTAAAGAAAATAAAGTTCCTACATGTCATAAGACCGGTTTCAGTCGCTCTCAATTTCACTCGTGCCCGTGGCATTAGACACGAATTTGATTGTGTTCCCTACTACACAGAAGTCCGCTGGCTCTCCTGTCATAAAGTATTGAAGAGATTTTTTGCACTACGTGAAGAAATTGTATTGTTTCTGAAATTGAACATTTCCTAACTGGCTAATGGGTTCGGGATTTGGCATTGGCAGTTGATCTCACTGGTCACCTGCAAGACTTGAATTTGAAACTTCAAAGTAAAGACAAAATTATCACAACTGCGTGTAATCTTGTGAATCATGTAATCAAGCAAATTACGACTGCGGATAAACCAAATATGAAAAGTAAATCTTGTTCACTTCTCAACGTATCAAGAACTAAAAAGATTAAATACGGCTACAACATTTGGTAAACATGTCTTACACCTGGAATCGTTAGTAGATGCTTTCAAAGACCTTTTTTTTATATATCGTTCCGTACGAGCAAGAATTTTCGTTGTTTGTATTTCCATTCTTTTGAAAATGCTGCTGGTAATATCCAACTAGAAATGATAGAATAGCAGTCAGATTCCATGTTGAAATCGAAGTATATAGAATTGGCTGTGCCAAAATTTTACAGTTATTTACCCTGAACGGTACGTTGAATTACGGAAATTTGCAGCCATAATTATTGCTGTGTGCAATGAAAGCTACAAAAGCATCTCACCGTTCGAGATTATCTCATCAATATTTGTCATCAGTGAAGAAAGTGTCAGTGGCAAACAAACATCAACATGACATTAATAAACTTGTATCCTATAAAAGAAAATAAAGCGTAATCATATTAATTTTTAGTTACCAAACTGTACTACAAATTTAGCCAACTAAGGGACAGGTATGCCATTAATTATTGTATTCTATTTTTTTTTCTAATTTACATAAGACTAGTAGGCTGTGTTGCAACTGATTTTTGGCTGCGGCCCCTCAGTTCCTAGTAAGTTTTTATGCGGCCCATACACCTTAATGAATCTGACATGCCTGTTATAGGGTAAAACGTGTAGCCTACTTTGTGACAAAGTAAAATGGCGCATTTTTTTAAATATGAGACTTAAAAACATCTCGTTAGTATTCTAAAGAAGTGCTATTGTGGGGCATCTCTGTTACACCGACAACCTTTCAGCTCACTAAAAAAAAAAAATTGCCTTTGGCATATGTTTGTCCATATGGGATAAGTGCCCAGCGTGACTATCGGACTATAAGAAGTTCATACCATTTCGCAAGAACATCGCTGTTTGTAGTGCGGGTTGCCACCGTATGTCCATGATGGTATGCAACTATCTTTGGTGAAGGCGTTCAAGAAGTCTTAGTTGCTTTGTGTAAAGTAGGCCTACCCATGTGCCAGATCCACAAAGATAGGGTTGAGAGAACCACTGCTTGGTAGACACTGATTTTTGTAGGCAGGCGGAACGATTTATTCCGCCACACTCTCGCTTGGAGGCGTCCAAAAGCAAGACTAACCCTGATCACATACCAGCCTCCCTTTAAAGCAATGCCTCATTTGATACTATGCTGCAGAGAATTTGCAGTCGACAGATACACCGAGCAAAAACCACATGTTTGCATGTTGGGATAATTACAGAACACGACTTTACATTCCGTATCTTAATTCGTTAGTTTCTTCATTAACGTCTCACTTGTCAAGCATTAATAATGCTCAGTTCAACCTGTTTTGTCTACTTCCTACAACGATTTAAGAATTGCAACGTACAGAACAATATCAAATATGCGTTCATCGCCGGCTTGTCCTTCGCGACAAGAAGCAAATCAATAGTAAATTTAGTGACAGTTTTGTCAGCGTTTGCATTTTTTTGTTTGATCGACCTTTGGAATGCACAGGCCGCACGGATAAACAGTTTATAATGTTTTCACGTTAGTTGTTTTTTTTTTAATTTCATGCAACAAGTATCTACAGTGAACTTAATATCACATAGGTATGGGAGGGGGGCGAGAATTTGAGAATGCAGCATTCTTTTCTTTAATATTCTCTGTAATACAAAAGCTGAGGCTACGACTATGAGCATAGGGTGGCAACTTGCAGCCCCCTGCAAAAAATCCTGCTGGCGCCCATGGTTGACAGTAGTTTGCTTTAGATCAGTGATGTCCTACCTAATTCGGCCTTCGGGCCATTTTAATTTTCAGCTCTCGGCCCACAAAAATGAAATAAACAATAAATCACATTTTTAGAAACCCGTGAATCCAGTAAAGGCACTAGATGGCATAAATTTATCCGAAACTAGCTTCTGAATATTCTACTGCATAAATGAGACACCAAGTCGGAACACTGAATCTAGGATACATGTTCGTCTGTGAGGCAATTGCTTAACAATGATTTCATCCCTTTCCGCCTGCTAAATGAGTTTGTTTAGAAGCTGCTTACATCAGCAAAGGCTTCAGAAATCCACTTGTTTTTTCATGCAGTTTGGTGATGAGTTCATTTAGATGGGATTTTAAATACGCCAAAAAAAAATAAAAAAAAATAGGTTGGGTGACTGTCGTTTTTTTTCCTTTTTATTGACCAGAGTAGTTTTAAAGGAGAATTCTAAACTCAAATCCCTCTGAATTTTTTTTTTTTTCAATCAAAACTCCCTTTGGCTGGGCTGCACTTATGGAATTTTTTGACTGTAGTTTGCCTTAGTTATTATATACTACTACCACCTTAATGAAATATCGTTGAGTCCGAATTAAAAAAAAAAGTGCAGAACATGGACAACCAATGCACAGTGTAGATGTATTCTAGACTAATTTTTTTAATGGTTTTACAAATGTACTGGCTGTAGATGTATTTTAGACTAATTTTTATGGTTTCACAAATATACTGGCTGTGGCTATAAAAATGATTTAATAAGTGACTTTATTTATTCTGAGCAAGATCTAGAGATATTAATTTGAAAAAAAAATAAAAAAATAGTTTGATGTTTATGTTGACTGTGTCAGTGTGTGCTATTTACATAGGAACAGGAAATGTGAGTGACAAGTTAAGTGTAGTGACAACACTATACAACCATATCTAAACTATTTTTTTAAAATAGTATAAGATCTGCTGTCCATATTTGACCTAAATAGTCTAAAGCTTGATGTCCATATTTAACCTATTATAGTCTAAAGCTTGCTGTCCATTAGTGCCTAAAATAGTCTAAAACTTGCTGTCCATATTTGACTGTTACCATAAACATGTATACATGTCAGTGATTTTTTTTAACTTCGTTTGTTTTTTAAATATCAAAAAAATATTTTACTTGCTTCTATTTTTCCATATGATAATTGAAATAAGTATATAGGTCATAGTGGATTTATTAATTGTAGAATGTGTGCAACACAGGCTATCCACTAAGTGAATCAAAGACAGGACAGTCCACTATTATGTTTTCAAACATTTCTGTATGCTCTTTTTATACCTAAATATGGGGTCCAATTCAAACCATTAGTGTTTTCATAGTTTATTGAATTGAAGCTTGACCATCATTTCTTTTATTTATACCAAGATGTAGACACACACAAACACAACAAAAACACATTTTATATGACATGAGAAATGAGCAAATATATAAATGTTTGTAAAACTTTATTTTGGTCTGGTAATAGACAGTAGTACATAGTCAAATAACATCATGACTCCTTCACATTACACAGTGAACAGACAAGAACTTGAAGAATGCAAACAAAAGTAAAAACATGTTGCAGCCAGTCATTCAAACAAGACAGCACAAATCTAAAAGGCATATATTGAACACACAAAAAAGTTTTCCATTGACACCTATCCTCATATTGGGCAGATTATGTCAATTTGAACAATTTTGAATGACCAACAGTGAACAAGGGGGGGGGGGGGGGGACAAAACAATGACCACTTTTAATTTCCAGAACCTTTTTGAGGTACTCATGCTGGCATTGGAATTATTTAATACCTGAAAACTAACTTCTATGAATTACTGGAATTCCAACTCAAGGCCCTTGAGCATTGGACCACTCAGACAGCCCATTCCAAAGGCAAGTGACCACTCAGACAGCCCATCCCAAAGGCAAGTGACCACTCAGACACCACATCCCAAAGGCAAATGACAATGTTAAAAAAAAAAAAAAAGCCAACAATGCACTTTAAATTACATGTTACATTACAACTTGTTATAGATGTACGTACAGAAATGTTTCAAATCAGGCTAACTTAAAATACAATATTTGATGGGACCTTAATTCTCACACTGCTGGAGGAAATAGTTTGTAACCAAATGTGTTAAAAAAAAATTTTGCTTGGGGGAAATTTAACACGAGATATTTTAACACAAAATTGACTAATGCACTAAATAACTTAAATTTCAAACATTAGCTACTAGTTATAAAAAGTTAAAGTAAATTCTAGATGAAGTAAGGAATTCACTTATAATTTTCATGACATGTACATGATTCTAACCTTTTAATTGTAAGGTCTGACCAAAGATTTAAAAAAAAAAGTTTTGCAACGTTTATTTAATGAAGGCTTGATGGTAAAAAAAAAATTTCCTAAAAGTAATTTTGACCATTTTTGTTTCTTGAAAGGTGAACAAAAGCAATTCAGTGTTCCTAAAACTAGCCAAAACTAAAACATTGCAGGTCCCAAACTGGGCCTATTCTATTTGTGACTAGTTCAAACAGTATTAAATTGATTCCCAGTAAACATTTTCAACACTTATGATTAGAAAACAGAATGTCCTACTGAAAAACATATTTACCTACAAGAGTAACTCAGCAGATGAATTGAAACCTAAAAGAACTAGTGGTGGATGGGAGATCTCTGGTAAGACAATGAACTGCTCCTCACCTCATTATTGGCTACATAATCAAAGTCAAAGGCATTTATTATTATTATTAGGTTTTTAATTATTAGTAAAATAATATGTTGATCCTGTGACTATGTGACAAAAAGACAACAAATTGTGACTTGTCATGTAGACATCTCATCAGTATCTTAGCATTTTGTGCACAAAAAGATTTCATTTTTTTTTTCCTACCATGAAAATATTTCAAGTTTGGATCAAGATGTGTTTGAAATGAAGATTTCCCATAGTTCATTGGGAGAGGGGGGGGGGGGGGGGGAGAGAGAGGAGGTGGTAACATTTTGTTGCACTGGGTCATGAACAAACAGCATTTGTAGAACGTGTGGCACTACATACAAGACATATAGATTGAAAATCAAGTATGGAATCAATCAGGTCACACAAACAATAGCCAAACAACCATGTATGTCCAACATTTTGATCATCTATTGATTGATTGAGCATTCCATCAATGGCGTTACATTAAAACTGACACAGTAAAATATTTGCACATTTTCCCCAAAACAAAAATTTATTAATCAAATTATTATATTTTCATTGGATCAGAAAATGATAAAGTCTAAAACAAACAGGCTAAATTGTTTGAAAACAAATTCCAGAAACTACAATGACATATCTTTACTTTATACAGTTTATCAGACCTGTTATAAGTACTAGTACAAACACACCTGACAGTGTGCTACATTCACTGAAGTTACAGCATGCATGCATACACCTCACATCTTGCATGTTATATAAAGTTATAGATGTACATCATGTTCTGTACAAGAGAATTATAGCACTTTTCTTCCACACAGCAAGCAGGACAAAACTTTTCATGCATGTTCTTTTAAAACCCATCATGAAACAAACAATAAGAAATTAATATAAAAGTTTTAGAACATGACAAATCAATGCAAGACAGTAATACTTCATAGAGTATAGATGTACTCATTAGTTATTTACAATAGATGCACTTCATAAAACAAAAGGACATGACTTCTGTATTTCTTTATGAGTGAGCAACATCTGTGGTGTATACAGTTAAAACAAAATTATACCCCTTGAATTAAAAGAAAACAAAGTAGAAACAATCGTTTTGGCAATAAGAAATCCAATGACTGACTATTAAATAACTTAATTACACTGCAAATATCTGACCAAAAACTTGTGCTACTAAATGAAATGTTTTTTTTCCCTAGAACTAGCTAAATGGATAGGTGGGATGGAGGATAGCAAAATGTGATGTGCATACCTCGGGCCTTAATATTGTTGGATGGACAATAAACAATGAAGAGTAACTTTTAAGTATCAGGTTGGATTGGAACCTTCATAACTATTTTCCAAAGCCCTGTTAATCCTTTGAACATAACATCTATAACCCTGATGATGGAGTACAACTTTTAGAGATAGATTTAGTGTCTTCTGGTAAATGTTTAGTTCTCAAAGTTGTGCTAGTCACTGTGGATTAGTGAATTGAAAAATGTGCTAAATAGACAACTTAATTTCACCAAAAACAAAATAATTGTAGCGAACAAACTAAAAGTGAAACTTGAACAAAGCTGAAAGCAAGTAAATAAAACAACCATTAGACTAACTTGTCAATTGTAGTCAAACTGAATTTCCATTTGATTGGATCAATAATAATTATCTTATCTAACTTATTCTGTTGCAATACAACTCAAGAGAGAGCACTCACTAGTTCAAAACCAGAGAACACTAAAGCTTTCATGAGCTATGGACAAAAAATACAAAGAAAGGAGTTAATTAGTTTAAATAACCAAAAAGGTTGAATGTAGTCAGCAGACACAATTCAATAAATGATATGTAAAGATTGTAATATTTTTCTGAAATAATTTAAACAAAGAAATTTTCCCAAATTCAAATGTTTTGGCACTTATCTAAAACTGGAAGAAGTCAATATGAAGGATAAAGAAATGTACCATTCTAAATGTAAAAAAAAAAAATGTATACATTTTCACAGAGCAATATCTGCATTTGTGTTATTTCTGTAAAGTGAAGTTGGCAATACAGAATAGATCTTGTATATATGTTTACAAGATGACTGTATTCTATTTGTATTACTTGTCTAATCTTATTAAGCTTACAAAAAGCAAAGAAACAAATGAAAAAAAAAAAGACTATAAAAGTGTTTGAGTGAAAGGGGTTAAAAGTTATCTAAGAGGAAAGAACCAAAGTTTCAATGAATAGTTTTTTTTTTGGTTTCTATAGTTATAACCAAGATTATTATTATAACACTTCTTGTGATGTCAACTGTAATTATTATGTGTAGCTTTGACCTCACATAGTAATAAGTAGTGACACCACACAATGGTACAGCAATTCATATACAACAGATCAATGTATACCTACTAACAGACTCAACAGATCAATGTATACTTACTAACAGACCAATGCAACTCTACTGACTCAATAAATAAATAAATACGTCTATAAAATAATTCTTCAAAAATAACTTTCTATTCATAATGATAGCGCAAAGATGTCCTGTTTGGTGGACAGAGCCTTTCTTTTGTACAAAAATGTGTCCACACACAACTGATTGCACACTGGTCAGTTTCCTCAGAAACTTGTAACAGAGAAGGTCACAGACGTGGACAACAAAGTATGTACTCGTTTTTGTTTTAATTATTTATTTACACTTGACTATATAAATATTTACAGAGGTTATTTCTTCTTGTAAATTTGTATGAATAAGAGATAAATACTTCCATTTTACTCAATACACTCACTTAAAAAAATGGGAAAAAAAAAACAAAAACAAATTAATAAAAACCACATCATATAATTGGAGTACTGTAATCCTTCTATGGGCCATCAACAGAGAACTAAGACATAAAAAAATAGCCAGTATAATGCAAACATTTAATGCCTAACGGTTTTCAAGCCAGTTTTCCCCTTTGATCAGATATCTAATTGCAACTCAATATAGTAACACTGTCCAGACATGTTTAGCTTGCAATTTAGACTCACATTTTATTTTTAAAAAATATATACATTTCATTTAGAGAAAATTGAATAAAACTTTGTCTTGCATTTCTGAGCAAAACTTGGTCTGAGCAAATAATGCTAGCAGTAGCATAAAGACAATGACCTAACAACACACACACATAGATACAAAGCAAGGCTGTGTGTTGACTTCTACCTGACACAATTGATACTAACAAACTGAATGCTGGCAACATGAGCAAAACAAATGGCTGGCTGTGGTGGGAGCAGTTTGGTCCAGACTGGTGGCTTGTACAATGAGAATCATCAAGTAACAAAAACCTGTCAATGTTTAGTTTGCTTATCTGGAGGTTTAGTAGTTCTACAGACATACACATATTGTAGATTAGGTCAAATAGAAGAAGCATATTTAATCAAATATTAGTATTAAAGTATAATTCAGTTGCTTTGATGTGGTTACTAGCAGTTGTGTGGGAAGATTGGTAATAAAATGTCAATCAAGACTTAGGAATCTTAACCATGTTAATACTGGTAATAAAATGTCAATCAAGACTTAGGAATCTTAACCATGTTAATACCAGACTATAAAACAGTGCTTCCTAAACTACTGGCCCAATAAATTGCCTCAAATTATAAGTAACTGAGTGCTTGCTCTGAAATGACAAAAGACTAAAAAAAAAACTTAGGTTTAGTCTTGGAATTTTGGTTCACACAGACTGGAAAGTTAGGCTAAAGGTGTAGGAGCTGACACAGTGCCAATTTGAAATGATTTGTCAAAATGACACAACATGAGGAATACAAATAAAAAAGGAAAATATAGTAGATACTCTCAGCATAAATTTGCTCTACAATCCATGCTTTGGAGAAAGTGGTTAGAGCTAACTGTGTACATCTCAGCACTTTTCAAACTCAACGGTTTAGAAACACCAACAACAGCAATCTCAAATAAGTTGAACTTGTCAGGTTATGGACAAAATAAATATATTAACAGTACTGTATTACAGTAGAATGACTAGATCTAGAAGTAACACACTGTAACTAGAGACAAAAAACAAAAAAAAACATTGCCAGTACCTAAGTAATGATACAACTCAAACTAGAATTAGTCTAGGTCTAGGAGCCATTTTAGAAATTATTTCTAAATCTGAACAAGAACATTTTTTAAAATGTATTACAAATGTTAATATAATATATTTTTTCCAGACCATACTTGGATGAATTCAGTCACTACACAGTAGCCTCACATTATTTGGACTAGTGAAAAACTTTTATTTAAAAAGAAATTTCACATTAAACTGAGCCTTTGTTTGATATTACTAATATATATTATTTTTATTGTTAGTACGTTGTATTTCTATGTGAAAACAGAGAGGTAAAAGAATCCATTTCTGAAGCAACATTTTACGATGTTTTAAATAACTTTTTTTTAAACCACAAAAACAAGTTTAATAATAACAAACTTAACAGACTCAACCAATACAAAGAAAAACAACTTTAGTTGTTCTTAATGATATGATCAAACAGCCAGGTGAAGATTTCTTCCCATCAATGGATAATAATATAACTTAATCTCCTCAGAACAGTTGTGGATTGAAATGAGTCTAACTTGGAGGTAATGCATAAGAATTCAAGCCTAACTTTCTAACTTGCTACAACTCACTGCAACAAAAACAATGGACCTACTTTAAAAATGAAACTCATGAAAGACATTCAGAAATAAGTTGGTAAATAATTTACAGGTCAAACAAATTTAAAAGATGTACATAAGAAAACAAAAACAGTCAAAGTCCAGTTAAAACTATTCAATTGGAAGGAACACCCTAAAACTACTTAATTAAAAGGAACATGTTAGCCAGTTTGTAATAGAAAGAAAGAGATGTTTACGTCTACCATTTCATAACTAGATAGACTTGTACACAATAAAACCCCAGTGAATGCTGTAAAAATATTTGTGTAAATACTAGTTAAAATGTAAGTAAGCAATATTCACGTCTATATTATATTTTTCTTTGAAAGAAAATTGGTTCTAAAAATAATAAAAGGCTTGGTAAAATTGTACTTTGGCTCAATTAAAAACAAGAATTGTTAATGATATTGAAATTAAAAATGTGTATGACTAAATCAGTCATTAAAACTATTTATTATCAACAACTGCTCTCTTCTCACAAAACAGTCTAATTACTTGACATGAATGATCATAATTAAATACATGAAGTCTAAGAACTCTGACCTATGCAGTCCCTGATCAGTGATTGGTTTATAAAGCAATGTGTAGAAACATGAAAAAACAAAACTATGACAGGAGGAGA